GTATAATATATCCGATATGCATAGTATGTATGCTATAAAGCTATAGTGATTACCATCGTAAATTGGAGGTAATAAATTAGTACTACAAATTATTGTAATATAAAAGTAAAACAAGTTGAGGGGAAGGTACTGCGCGAGTGGAGTTCGGGGTTGAGGTCATCATAATGGTCGAAAGTTGTGGCATGTGACAAACCTTCATCTCGTCAGGGCTTCATGTCGGAATGTCTAAGCTTGTTTCGAAGAAGTTAAAGTACTAAAACAACTCCATGGCCTACAGCTTAGTTATCACGTGAGGTTTAGATATGTGATGAACTCATACCCGAGGAGTCTCCCATTTCATCTGGAATGCGTATCGAGCATTATAAGGTCATACAGAATAGTGTAGATCATTATAATATGTTCTCACGCAATTATATAATACTGTGAGAGTTGATTTAGAATCTTAGGGGGTTGGGTACGGGAGAACTGGTTTAGGCATATAAGTATGCACACTCGCATCCACTCATACAAGAACACAATTCTACATATACACGTATACACACCTAATGCATAAACACACGTACACATACATGCACACGCATATGCGCATACAAACACGCAAACACATGCACACGCAAGTACACATATACTTGTGTGAGTACCACTATGCAAAAAACAGATAAATCATGTAACGGAGTGAAATAGAGTGAAATAGAGGGGGTTGGGTGCGAGAGTATGGATCCAAATATAAATGTATGTGCACATGTATATGCACATACAAATATATCTGTATGAACACTACCATGTATAAAACAGAGGTCTATACATACTAAGAGGGTAACAGGGTAGGGTGTGCATATATGCATGCAAACACATACATCCCCACATGTCCGCATATACAGATGCATGCATATATGCATGCAAACACCCACAAATGATATACACAAACAAAGTACATACATATATAAACACAACAATTTCCAGATAACGGAGTCGGACCCTAGGGGGTTGGGTATGAGGGGGATAATTAATAATTTTTAAGGTGTTTTTGGTGTAAAGGTTTGAACTAAACCTAACGTTTCTAGCATTTGGCTGTCACTTAGTTCTTCGTCTTTTTGTGTTGTGTCTCCTTCTTTTTTGTCTTTGGGTTCCAGGGTGGTACTGTGCCTTAGTATTTCTAATTCTAGTTTATCTACGTTCACGAGAACTTCTTGATTTCGGAACACGTCTTGTGTAAGGAATATGTCTTCTGGGGTCAATGTTATAAAACTTTTCATCGGCGTAAAATTCTACCGGCGGAATTTTTTCTATGGAATTTTTACCGCCGTAAATTTAGAGACGTAAAATGTTTTTTCATTCAATGTTATAAAACTTTTACCGGCGTAAAATTTTGCAGATATCTATGCTCTGAATTTATTTTCGGAAATCTACTGTCCGAATCAATGACATAAAAGGTTGTCAAAAACAAAATGTTTTTGAGTTGAAAACATTAAAGCTAACAAAAATTAATAGTTTCTTATGGGTTTGGATTTAGACTGTTTCGATTCTGATGAAAAATGTTTTGTTACTTTAGAATATTTGGCAAATCAGAGACAACCACGAGAAGTAAAACTGTTCAAACAGTATTTAAACTGTTAAGAATACAATTTAAAAGTAAAAAAATGGAATTGTCATTAATTTTTTAGCCTACCCTATCACAAAATTTGTATAGCTTTTCTATAAAAATAACTTATACTATTTTCTATATAGAGGTTTCTTTAGACCAGAGTTGTTAGTCCTGGGCCTTGACCTTGCTTGCAAAACTAATGTCTTGGATTTGAAACTTTTGGCCTTGGCCTTAAAGTTTTTGGCTTTGACCTTGATTGTTTTGTTCTTTATAGTAAAATACATAAAATTAAAGAATTAGCAGTTTTTATTCTTTGTTTACATATTTAATTAGGTAATTATTCATTCTTTATTTTGTAAAATTGTGTTGATATAAATATAGAAAATCTATACACATTTTTTATTATACAATATATACACATAGAAACACATATTATACAATCTATACACATAGAAAATCTATACAAACAGAAAAAATAGGAAAAATTGCATAAATAAACTTTAAAAGAAAATGACTTTAAATACTAAATAACTAAAAGAATTATTCACTAACTCAAATTCTTATAACAAAAATTTATTTAGACACAAATAAAAATTTGAACATAAAACTTTTTTTATTCTTTCTGATAAGAATTTTATCCACAATAAGTTTTGATGTGATTCCATACCATACACAATCTGAGAAACTTTGGAAACAAGTTGTACATAATGTCTAAAAACTTTCTGAATTAGATAAAAAAATCATTAATGTATTTTCTTATCTGATTTTATCAAAAATATTTGAGCTCGTACCATATTTGAGCAACTAAGGTAATTTCTAGAACTTTAATAATTCTGTTTATAGTTTGACCACTTGTTTTACTATTTCGAATTTCAAATAACCTCTGCATAAATTTTAAATGGAGAAATTTCTTTTGTCTGTCCATTTTGAGTTTGTCTAAAACAAAAATTGATCTGATTTTTGGATTAATAAATAGTCCTAGTAAACCTAGCATAAGTGTATTTTTCTAATTAGCTCAATAACAAACTTTGGAAATTTTTAAACACTTTAAATTCCTGATGGTTTTCTTTCAGGCTCCAATGTCTAAAAGAAAATTTGTAAAATTATTCTAAAAAGTTAAATTTGTTTATTAACTTTCATTCATGAAAACCTATATACATATATGTGTGTATATATATATATATATATATATATATATATATATATATATATATATATATATATATATATATATATATATATATATATATATATATATATATATATATATATATATATATATAACTATTGAACCTACTGATAAACCTTCCTTATGAACCTACTGATGGAGAAACACGTTGTTAGAGAATAAAACTAGATAAATATATTTACTTATCTAGTTTTATTCTTCATATATATATATATATATATATATATATATATATATATATATATATATATATATATATATATATATATATATATATATATATATATATATATATATATATATATATATATATAACTATTGAACCTACTGATAAACCTTCCTTATGAACCTACTGATGGAGAAACACGTTGTTAAAGAATAAAACTAGATAAATATATTTACTTATCTAGTTTTATTCTTCATATATTATATATATATATATATATATATATATATATATATATATGTACATATATGTATATATATATATATATATATATATATATATATATATATATATATATATATATATATATATATATATATATATATATGAAGAATAAAACTAGATACGTAAATATATTTATCTAGTTTTATTCTTTAACAACGTGTTTCTCCATCAGTAGGTTCATAAGGAAGGTTTATCAGTAGATTCAATAGTTGATCAGGCTTCCTGATAAACCTACTGATGGAGAAACAAGCTCTCGAAGATAAAATTAGATAAGTATTTTTACAAATTTATTATTGTTGTATTGTTATTAAATTATATAGTCTTTAAGAACATTGAGCACTCTCTCTGCATATATTTCTCTCTCTTTATATATATATATATATATATATATATATATATATATATATATATATATATATATATATATATATATATATATATATATATATATATATATATATATATATATATATATATATATATATATATATATATATATATATATATATATGTAAATGTATAAAATTGCTTTTGCCTCATTGCTTTTCAATAACTTTCAAAGTTTCAGTGATCAAAATAAATCAAGTCAAATATATTCTGAATAACGTTATTTACAAATAGTAATATGAAATAAACACCTGTAAAATTCATTACTAATAAAATGATGCTAATATTATTAGCATCATTTTATTATTAAGTTAAGTATTATCAGTAATAATTATAATGCAAGTAGGAGTAAATAAAAATAATAGTTGTAATAACAGCGATTAAAAGTATCAGTAAAGATTATAAAAAGTATACACCATACTATTTTAACAATAATAATAACAAAAATAACAGTAAAAATAACAACAACAATAATAAAAATAATGACAACAGTAATATAATAAAAACAGTAATATAAAAAAAAATTATGACAATATTAACAACAATAAAATTAATTATATTTTTAATGATAAAAGTATAGTAATAATAATATTAACAATTATAGTGATGAAGAGAAATTACTTGAGTTTAAGATAGATTAAATAATAAATAACTTATTTATTATTTAATCTATCTTAAATTATATTTTTACTTTATAACTTTAACTTTTTTTTTAGAAAAATATTGCTTATAAATATTATACTTTTCTTCAACTTATTATTTATAACTCTAACTCTCAGCTTCTATCTATCTAATTTTTTTTTTCTCTTTTCTGTTATGTTTTAATATTTTCCGTTAAATTTAATAAGTTTAACAAAAAATATTAAATCACAACAGAAAAGAAAAAAATTAGATAAACAAAAGCTCAGAATTAGGGTTATAAATAATAATTTGAATGAAAGTATAAAGTTTATAAGCAATGTTTTTCTAAAAACAAGTTAATGAGAGCAGTTTTAAATTTTGAGAATGACTTACATTTCTTACATCACAAATTCAGTTAAAAAAAATTAACAAAGAAATCGCTTGAAATTAAAATTTACCAAGAAATGTGCACTTATTTAAAATGAATGAACTTTTGATAAGTTTTCAATTCAAGGTAAGTACTTTGAAAGGTTCTAAACCAGAGGTTTCTTTAACTAAATATTCATATCTCTGGATCTTCAACAAAAATTTTCGTAGGTCGCTCCTCCGGAACATTTATCGCCTGTAAACCTTTCGACTGTAGAAATTTATCGACGGTAATTTTGAAAAAATTTTTATAACATTGAAACAAATCATTTACGCCGATAAAATTTACAGCCGGTAGCATTTTACGCCGATAAAAAGTTTTATAACATTGACCCCTGATGTTGAATATTGCTTAAAAGATCTAACCATTAAATCAAGCAATATTTCACATTCACCAGAAGAAGTACAATCATCGTATTTAAAAATTATATCAGATCGAAAACTTTCAACTGAGAGTGTTATTCCCTCAGGTGCAAATAATATTGATTGTGAAGTGAAATCTTACAGTAATCTATTGATATTAAATATTGGCATTAGACAAGGTATTTTAAGTAATGATTTAAGTTTTTTAAAGAAAAAGGATTGTATACCAATTCAAGTCAACATTATTAATTTACCATTGTTTAAAAGCAGCATTGGACAATTTTGACCAATATTAGGTTTAAAAAATGTGGATAAACAATATTCAACACAATAAAACCCCATTTATAATCGGTCTTTTTTATAGTAGGTCTAAACCAAAAGACCGTAATGAATTTCTAAAAATGTTTGTTAATGAAAGTATTGCTTTATTTGAATCTAGTATTATTATTAATGGTAAAGTATATAAGTTTGCTATATCAGCTTTTATTTGTGGTACACCAGCTAGATCATTTATATATGGAAATAAAGGACAATAAATAAAATAAAGCCTATTAATAAATGTTATGCAATAATTAATGGCATTAATTTGATATCTATTTTTTTTTAATTTTTTAAAAAAATATTCTTCACTATATATATTACTGATGCTTTTTCTATTTTTTTTTGTAGATAATAGCTGTGGCAAGTAAAGGAGGACAGATTTTAAAGGAGGCTATCCAGAGAATGTCTTTTGCGTTATTCACTAATAACCTCTGCTGTAAACTTAACTGGTCTGGTATTACTATAAATGACAATGAAAGTAACTTTGTAAAACAAAGACTTACACTTGCTTAAAAGTATTTTTTTTTGTAGGGGCTTGTTACTCTAATTTAATAATTACTTGTGTCTAATTTAGTAATTACTAATCTATTTGTTAATAAATAGTTGATAAATAAATAAAATTTATTTATTAACTATATAAAAATAAAAAATTAATAAATAGATAAATAAAATTTGTTAATAAATAGTTTAAAAAAAAATTCAAAATATTTCTAAAATTAAGTTAAAAAATATGTTTTTTGTTTTCCTGCTAGATAGTTAAATAAAAGTCTTAAATTAATTTTTTGGAGCTGTAAAAAGAAATCCTGCAACAACTTCAGCAACTGAATCAGATTTTCAATATGAGGTGGAGCGTTTTTTGCGTGGTGCATCAGACCGCAATGGCGGAAAAAAAGTTAAACAAGACCAAAAAAACAAACAAGCCAAGAAAAAAGTGATGCCAACATCAAGTTTTTTAATGCCATTAAATAAAGAGGCATTTTTTAGTTCAGAAGATGAATAATATTGTTAAATAAAATAAGCATCTTTATTTACAAATTTGTTATCTTTATTTTATTGAAAAATATTTTATATATTTTTAAATATTTTAATTTTTAAACTCAATAAAGTAAAGTTTTTGTGCAATGAGTATTACTGTTTCTGTGTTTTTCATATTCATTCCCTTTTACAGTAACCTTTTGTATATGAGATTGTAGATGAAAATTTGAATCGTAATACTGAATCGTAATAGAGAATAAAGTAAGATTAATTTTATTATTTTAATATTTATTTAATTTTATTATTTTGATATTATTTTAATGTTATTTTTGAAAAAAATCCAAAATATAAGTTCTGGAGTCTGTCTACTGTTTGATTTGTTTGATTATATTAAATTTAAATATAACTATAAGCTTTAAAATATAAAGTTATTGATGGAAAGCTAAATTAACTTGGTATTTAACAGTGA